CTTGAAAGGAGCTGCCACTCATATACAAATAATTATAATATAAGGAGCTGCCACTCATACATAAAAATAATTTCGACCTTTCGAGAGAAGTTAGTCACGTCGACGTTTGTTTACAAATTTCAGGTACATGTTCAATTTTGCACCTGTCCTGTTCTATTATGTTAATCCCCTTAATGTCGGCCGCCATCCATTTTTGTGATACGCCATTCTGTCAAAACTTTTAAGAGTTACCGTTGGCAACAGGGTGGACTTTCGTCTACGCATCCGTGAGAAACGTTAGCGTGGAGTGCACGTGGGCGCGGTTTAATCGCGTGACTGAATTCTAAAAACAAACTTCAAATTTGCCAAAACTACTCGTGTTATGAAGTCGTTTTCTTGTTTCTTTAATGTTTATACGCTCACAATTTTAGGCATTTCCAACTTAGAAGTGTTTGCTTTGGAATACGAGCGTGAAAGTAGAAATAAAAACTTTGTTGCAGCAGTTTAATTTCGCCGTACAAATATACCTGTTTTATATGTATATCTTTTTCGAAGTGAGATATACAAGTGCAACTTGACCTTCTTTAAATTTGTACTTGCACTATTTTTGACTCCATAAAAACTACTTTTATCCATGGAGAAACTATTTGTCTTTAAAAATAAGTTTGAATTTTTGTGGTGATATTATGCTAATTCCTTTGCAAACAGTGATTCAGTACTCGATAGTGTACTTGTTCAAAATGAACAAAAGTCTAAAATGAGTTCAGATCAACATCGCGTATCCATCAACAAAAAGAAGTCGCGCTTATTACTACTGTTTAGAAGAGAGACAATTATAATTTAACTCACTAGTAACCCGTTTTACAATATAAACTAGAAATCGGCCAACAAATTGTCACGAAATACTACAATGAAAATAGGATCTCTGAACTACCAATTTCACCGAACGGTCAAGTTTCTCTGCAAGGATTGCCCCTTTGCCCAATTTTCACGAGTAGATCATCGTGTTATCAAGTCAAGGATTATGTATACTTTAACATCAAAGAATAAAAAAACTGGTGATAAAGGGTAGATTTTGAATAAAATACGACTATCTGTATACAAGATCCGAGCGTTATTATGAAGCACTCGATACTCTGTCCAACAACATATTACGCTTAATTTTCTGCAAAATTAAAAATATTCACACATTAAAGATATGAAAATGTAGCTTGCATTACAAACAAATGTTGGCTTACTTAAGTAATACCTTACACATCGACTAAAGTCAAGTAAAGCCCTTTCAAAGTCGCGTGCCACATTCAGCTACAGATCACATGGCGGTAGAGAACTCAAGGAAGTATTCGGGATATTTCATAGCCAGTTTAAACGCCTCTGTGTACTATTCCGGTGAAATATGATGCACAACACACCGGGTAACACAATTTACCACTTTGTTCGGCTGTTCCATGTACACTTTTAAGATACAAGGTACGGTCAAATCATGTTCTTCGAAACATCTGCTCAAACAGTCCAACATAAATATCGCCACTCATCTTCTAATTCTTCTTCGTATGAAAATATGAGTTTTCCTGTCAATTGCTTTGCTTTAAGAAAAGTCATTAGGTTCTTGAAGAGTTAGTATATAACTTTAAAAAAACCCAGATGCTTTCAAAAACCAGTGAATCACAATGCTGTAAACTTCAACATCCTTAGAAATTGTAAGCAAAACATCGAAAAGCAAAATTTGCGGGGAAAAGCACACGAGCCCGCACTATTGTTGTGCAGCGTCGACGAAAGTCCACCCTGCAGTTACCGTTGGCGCTATGGTGTACTGTATGTATGACTAAAACTTTAAGGTCTTATATCAAAGGAGATTTTTGCAGCGGAATTGACATTTTGATTTGCCAATCCTTCGCAATTTTCTGTGGACATCAGTTGGAGAGGTAATTTTATTTGAATTTATGTTTATTTATTTCTCATAACAATTTTTTCTTTACACCAGTAAGTTGTAACACAATATGAATTGTTTTAATTACCCAGAATATCCCACATTGCTATTAAAATAGCAATACAGATTTCTAGAGGTCTCTTTATTTCGGCGGCATTTTAAAAAATAGTCGAATTGCAGCACAAGAAAACTTAATATTTGTCAACTAAAAAGTGAGTTTCACTGTTAATAATATAGATAAAGATATTACTCGACTGTGATTGGTTGATTTCAGTGCAGTTAATCCCAAACAGTAGTGCAATTTTCTTTAATCACAGTGCAAAAATTTGTAACAAACTGATCTGGTTGGTGGAAAAACATTGTGATGATTAAATCAACCAATCAGTTTAAAGCAATTTAGTTTAAAGAATATATATTAACTTTACAATCAATAACATATATTGACAAATGATTGAAGGAAAAGGACAACAGATCTTAAATAAGATCCAATTAAGTCCCACCCAAACTATTCCTACTAGCATGCATAACATTTGCACGTTTATTAATCTAACTAACATTTACCTGCCTAGAACCGTCTTTTGGTCTTAACAGAGTATAAATATATTTTTTTTAATTTTAGAGTTTTTATACTAATTTTTACAGTTTACACGTTTACGAACAACAAGTAATATCAAAGGAGCGACACTTTGTACACAATGATTTCCAAGTTCTTGGTCGATCGACATCAAAATCTAAGCTCAATTTTTTATAGTAGTAGATCTACTGGTATAGTTTGCATTTGAGCGAAGAGAAGGTTAGGGATGATTTAATAATTGATGGTAGGTTGTTCCACATTGGAACCACTCTGTTGAAATAAAACTTTCTGAAGAAGGATGTTCTTCATAAGTTAGGTCGGAGAGTGTTGGCTGAGCTAAAGCGAGTCTGGTGATGAGGTGTTTGAACAACATAGAGTACTGCTCAGAAGTAACCTAATGAAAAACGCGTTCTGAACGCGTTCCAGGACGCATTCTGGACGCGTTCCAGACGCGTTCCGGAACGCGTTCAGAACGCGTTCTCGAACGCCTTCCGCGAGACCTTCCGAACGCGTTCTAGACAGGTTCCTTTTTCAAAACAATTGAATCGGCAACAGTCGGAAATTATCGCGAATTTCCGATTTATAGCATTCCATAGAATCACATTTTACAAGTATGGCTAAGCTTTCTTTGTATGCAAGAAAAAGAATGATTTCTTTAAAATCCGCCGGAAATTCAAACAAAAAATACAAGAAGTTCTACTGGAGGATGGAATTAAAACTTCAACGACGCAATTTCGCTAGCTGTTTCTTTGGCGATATCGAAAGACGACCCGCCTCATCGATGCTCGTCAAAGTGGCCGAAAGCCGAAATTAAGACAAAAACATGTCGATTACATGGGCGAAAAGATGAAGGAAAATTACGAACTGCTTCACGGCAATAGAAACAAAAGGTTGCCAAAGATTGCGACATGGATGTGTCACTTTTTTTTAAACTAAATTAGTAAATAGTATTGTCAAATATTACTCAAATACTGTGATCTGCATGACTTTGTATTGTTGCACCACAGATTGTACTGAGTCACGTCAAAACGAGATAATGCACTAATGCTCGGCTCAAACGGGTCACTGCATTTATGTACAAATACAATACAAGTGCGACGAGCCTGCGGCAACTGTTGACTGCGGCATGTTTGTTTGGTATATGCTTCGTGTGACCCCGTTATGATGTACCGAGGCGGATCCCTGACGCCCATAAAAGTATTAATCTAAGGATGATTATGGCTAAATTCAGGGATATTTATGGATAATTTGGATCACAATTCTACTCTTGGCACAATGGAATATGATACAATTACAACTATTATGGTTTGTAAAAAAATGTGACACACCAAGAGACAGTTGAAGAGTTGAGTTGAGTTGAGTGAGTTGAGGTTTCGTGATGTTGGATTGCTGGTGAGTCATTCGATGTTTGTTTGCCATAAAATTATATAGTCAAAACCGTTTTAAAAAATGCCAAAATATGTTGGAATGCTGTTTACTATGCTTATATAAATAAATGCCAGACAGTTTTACTTGTCAAAGGAAGGCCTTTGTGTAGTTGTGTCATAATTGGTTAGATCAATTGGCACTTTGGTAGATAGTTTTTTTAACTCCCACAATGGTCTTCCTTTAACCTTGACTAGCAAATTTTCTTTGTTAACATTCACACACTTCCAAAAAAATAGTATCTTGGATGTTTGTTTCAAATATATTTTACAATACGGAAATGTAGAAAAAATATTACAATTGAGTATCTAGTTATATAAAGTATGTCAAGCACCTAATTTTATCCTACGTGAGTTACATCTATATATAATTAGTACAATATTTAAAACCTAAGGGAGTATTATGTAAATATTAATACAGCAGTTTCAGGTGCAATATAACCCAGTTTCAAGGTGTAATTGTAACCCTCCATCTCATTCTGTCAGTGTCGATGTTTCTGATATAATTGCATGAATTAGCGGCCGCGCCTAAATGTCAAAAACAACTATTGCTATCAAGCATGAGGTAGTTGTGTATCACAGGTCTAAAACTGCTGTAAACATTCTAAGTTTTCTAATCGCTCCATCGATTGCTTTTCGGCATGCACACCATGCAATTTTGCTATCTACTGCACCAAGCTTTTTGAAAGTAATTTCTCTTATTTTTCCAAGTCGAGGATCTTTCTCTAAGGCCTTTTTGTTGCACGTTCCAGTACAATTTGCATTCAAGAGCTCAGCTTTATTAAAAACAGAAAATACCAAATTCTTGGCATAATTTGACATTGAGAAACTTTTAGCAAAAACCTCGTCGAACAGATTAACCGGTATTGGGGCTGGTGATTGAGCGAATGGCGTGGAGTAACTGACAGGTGTTGAGTGTTGTGTAGAAGGAATAGCAGGTGTTGACCGGCTGGTGGATTTCAATAGACCAGCAAGTACTGAACGTTGTACAGTCGGAGTGATTGGTGATTGGTTGGATGGGGTTGCTATCTTACTTAAGTCTATGGTGATGCTTTCCATACCTGGCAATGTACGTAGTAAGTCTCAAAAATGTTTAAAACGTTTGAAATTTCAGCAAGAGATGGTAGAATAGGCCTGAATCTTCAATATTATCGTTGTCAAATGCATATATTGGGTCGGAATTGAACAAGAATTCACCACTTTCAAGTATTTGCTTTTCAAGTACCGATATGTTATCTTCATGCTTGCACCTTTCCATAAATTAAACATGAGGATCTATTCCACATTCTGCTCCAATAAAGTTAAACATGTTGTATGAACTGAAATAATATTTTATTTAACCGTACCTGTTTTGGCTTCTTTGGCTTTGATTGTTTCTGAGCGGCTTTCTTGTTGGGTTTTTCCGCTTTGGAGGACATCTTCTGTCTTTCGGCTCTGGTGACGCAGGTAGATTCTCTTTATCCACAGAATCATCTTCCAAGAAGTCTTGACTCAATACAAAGTCATCCTGGGCTTCTCTCAGAAGGCTAGGGTCATCTGTAAAGCGCAGTATTAAATGTATCGCGATTAGAATTATAGCCATTAGAATAAGTTTATGGCTACAACACCAAAAACTTAAATGTGATGTACGATAACTTACCGTGGAGTTTCACGACTCGCACTTCTAGATCTCCTTTCCCGTATTTAACGAGCACCGAGGCACCCTCCACCAGCCGATCGCCCTCTAAATATTTTATTATCTTGCTCATTTCCAGAATAGACGTGGTCTGGTCACTACCAAAGAACAGCAACATTCTCTTTGCATGTTTTTGGCGCTGTGATTTACGTAAAGCCATTATTGTGGTCGATAGATAGATAGAAGATAAAAATCGTTTGTCTAAGTCTAGGTTGTGTGTTGTGTTGAACAGCCGATAAAGAATGAGCTATGAATAAACTTGCGCTTGTATATAACACCATATATAGAGTACGTGTAATTCATATTTTTGCAATGAGTCATGCCGCTATTATAGGACATGCAGTTTCTGTATGGTTGAATGAAGATGATGTGATATCACTGTGAATTACGTCGCTCTGAAATTCTAGCTTATTTCATCACTGTAACTGTTTATCTTAGAAATGTTCTAAAATATTAGATTTAGGTCTTAGAATGAGTAGGCCTATGTGGCGATATGATATTGTGTTTTTTTGTAGTTTTTGTTTTCACAGGCGCGCAACTACAGTACTGCGTAGGTGTGAGGCTTTAAATCAAAGTTTGAAAAAATCACTAACCTTATACTGTTTTATTTGTGGGATATGAATAGGCCCCCAAAACTAATACCAACTAGACCAAGCAGATGTCATTTGGCTTGGCTTTAAATTTAAGCTTTATTACTGGGGAAAGAGAAAGATATTTATTGTCAATGTTAAAATATTCTTAACTGTTAAGAATATTTTAACATTGACAAACGACATTGTATTAAAACAAAACGTGCATAGCAACTGTTTTCGCGTCAAACATACATGCACGCAAAAATACTAACGCGAGTCCAAGCTCAAACTGGACAGGTTAACCGTAGAGTACTTTGTTTTAGTTTTTGATAATTACTTTGAAATTTTCCGTATACCACTCGAAAAGTGAAAGTAATTGCTTTAGTAATTCTTACTATTTAGGCCTATGACTATAATTTTCAAAATTTTGGGTTTTCACAAACAAGTGCAGCGTAGCGTATCTGTAGGTGTGAGTTTTAAATCAAATTTTGACAACATCGCAGTTACTGCTTTATATGGGAGATATGAATAGGCCCTCAAAATTAATACTGAACAACTAGACCAAGCATTAAACTGCATGTATAGGACTTGATCTATAGTGTTGGAATACTATTGAATATTGTATAGATGTATTGTAGTGACAAATCAAACCCATGCACTAAGTCTAAGCTGGACCTTTTCATATGCACACGCCGGGTCAGCTCTTCCCAAAAATCGGCCATCTGATATAAACTTTTTCAATATATTTCGGATGGACATGAAACTTGCTACATCAATATAACTTTCCATTCCGAACAATCGTATGTTTTTTATTTTTGAGATTTAACGGTTTTTGGCGGGAAAATGACGTCACGAAACCTCCAGGTAAAATTTATTTTCAATATCTTAATAGTTTTTAAGCAGAATGTGGAAGATCATGTCATGAAGAGTTCAAAACTGAAAAGAGATTTTAAATATCTTAATCTAATCACGAGATACAGGGAGTTTAGAATCGAATTTTCCACCATTTTGTTACTATTTTTAGATTTTTCACGGGTTTTATAGTGAAATAACTTTGGATTAGGTTTAGATATTTAAAATCCGTTTTCAGTTTTGAACTGTTCATGACATGTTCTTCCAAATTCTGCGACAAAACTATTAAGATATTGAAAGTAAATTTTAACTGGAGGTTTCGTGACATCATTTTCCCGCCAAAATCCGTTAAATCTCAAAAATAAAAAACATACGATTGTTCGGAATGGAAAGTTATATTGATGTAGCAAGTTTCATGTCCATCCGAAATATATTGAAAAAGTTTATATCAGATGGCCGATTTTTGGGAAGAGCTGACCCGGCGTGATGGGGAAAAGTTATCCCGGTTAGCGAGAAAACATTTTGACTAGCCAAATAATTTTGTCCCGTACCATTATATTGAGCTTTCGGCTCGGTATTTCGAGCTTTCTTCAGAATACTATTACTTCTATTGAGATTTCGACTCGGTACTTCGAGCCTTCTTCAGGATCCTGAAATTCATAATAATAATAATAATAATAATATATATATATATATATATATATACTGTATATATATATATATATATATATATATATATATATATATATATATATATATATATATATATATATATATATATATATATATATATATATATTTCTGTGCTGGTGTTGTGTACTCAGATGAATAATATGTTTGTGATGTTACTCTGAGTGCATATCCACACCGAGCGAGCTTGAAAAATATGCCCGGCCACGGTGGGATTCGAACATACGACCTTTGGAATACTAGCCCAATGCTCTTCCAACTGAGCTACGCGGTCAGGACGGTTCGAGTAAGTGATATTTCGGAACAGTATCTAGTTCTTTCAATACCAATGTGTTCTTCTAATATAATTTTTTTTTTTGTGCTGGTGTTGTGTACTCAGGTGAATAATATGTTTGTGATGTTACTCTGAGTGCATATCCACACCGGGCGAGCTTGAAAAATATGCCCGGCCACGGTGGGATTCGAACCTACGACCTTTGGAATACTAGCCCAATGTTTGATTCGTAATAACTTCTAAACAAGTAAAGCTTTTAAAGAGAAATTACTTGCATCAAATAGAGGAAGGGTTAACTTAGATTTTCATATATTACAGTTGTATTTGAATAAAAATTTCATGGAGATATTAATGTTTAAAATCGGGGGCATATTTCTGAATGTTTCTAAAATATGCAAAAAACGGAGTATCAAATATTAATCAAGATTTGCCCGACTAAAACTTAACATGCACTATTACCAGTAAATAAATGACACATGACAAATTGTTTATTATGAAACAAAGTATTATTATCTACAAAATACAAGCAAGATTTATTCGTCCGAAATGCGCGTGTGTTCCTAGCACGAATACCGCGTTGCCTTATTTCATGAGACCACTGCATCGTGAAGGATCGTCATGGATCGTTCGTAGTTCTGAATTAGGGCATGCCGTCACAATGGAATTGCGAAGCTCTTCCAACTTCTGCAACATTCTGAAATCTTGTTAAGAACACGCAAACTCTTTTGCCTTTTCTTAATCTTGGCAAGTTCAGAATAAACTGAGAATGAAACATAATCAAACCATATATACAACTCCTGCATAAGACAAAACAAGCAACTCCCAAGAGACATCCAACATTTTTGGAACAAAACGTAACAAAATAGCGTTGATACTGTGATGTGTCTTTGCAAAAAGCAATATTATTTCCTTCATTAAAGAATGATATTCATCCTGCTCTAACTGAGAAATAATCAACTCTGTTTTGAACCCATGAAAAAATTAGCCTATTTAAGAAAAATTTAAGCGCCTGTCTTTCATGGTCTGTCATGTGCCTTTAAGTTTGTAAAGACCTATTAAATACTTGCATAATTTCGAACGTTCATATTTCAGGATAATCAGCTAAAACTTGAATGTAAGATATCTAAATCTACGCCATGTATCCATCACAAACCCTAACGACAATTCGCTGAAAAGCAAGTTAGCCTGATATGTCACTAAGCGAACAAACGCTGGAGTTAATATTTAATATGCCGATTTTCGCTAATTTTAGACACATCCCAAAATATGCTTCTGATTTTGAACATTAATATCTCCGTGAATTTCTAAGCAAAATACAACTGTAACATATCAAAATCTAAGTTAATCCTTCCTCTATTTAATGCAAGTTACTTCTGTTTGATAGCTTTACTTGTTTAGAAGTTATAATAAATCAAACCAGAGTACTTTTTTGGGGGACACCCGGTGTATATATATAGTTTTTCGTTTTACCTCAAAAAACCACAACAGTCTGTTTCATCCGTATAGGAATCATAATATAATATATAATCCTCTCTTCGAGTTCACTCCTATGTTTCACACTGATGCACTATCGCTGGCCACTTCATGTCTCTATCAACATCGCAGCTGGACGGCTTTGAAGTTTGCCGGCTATTCCTAACCTGTCCATAAAATTTCTATTAACTACAGTATGTTCCAATAGAACTACCAGTATAGCATGCAGGATTCTGTTTGGAGAAGGAATATTGGAACGAAAAATGCATATTTTTTTTAATCTAACCATGATCATTTGCGAGTTACAAACCATGGTAATATCTTGTCAATATTGCCGAAATTAACTAATCAAATTTAATAATTTAGATGGAACATCGCTTCGAAGAAGTCAACCACAACAGAATGAAATGTTCCGTAAATTTGGCGTCGAAACTTTTTATTTCGTTCTTTATCTTGCTATATTTTGGTGGAAGTCGTGTTTTTGGCAACAATGACATTCCATTTTGTAACAAGCTTTGGAGCGACCTTGCAAACAATTTGGCAGACTGTCGTGAGCAATGTTTGAACGGAGATCAGGAAATTAAGTCATCATGTTGCCAAGAACGAAAACAACATTTTGAGGAAAGGAGGCGCAGGCACAGACAAATGTGTTTTTATGAAGGTATGAGATAATTTTAATCATTATTACTAGATCGAATGTGTTAAAGTGTTACACTCTCTACCAATCTAGAGTTAAAAATTTCCCGAGAGAGCATATATTCCTGGATAACCACATATACTCGTTCATCGTGGTATATTATGCATGGAAGTCCAAATACACTTTCAGATAAACATACAAACTATGTTCGAACAAGCGCAGGGTATAATTGCGCAGGGGAAATCAGCTCTTCATATGGAAGTAATTCTTGCCCCATTGTTTTGTAAAATGCCGACTTTATTAGAGGAGTATATAACCTTAAGTTACCCAGCTGACCATGGAGTAAGGGTGTGGTGGAATTGCAAGGTATTTGTGCATGTGCTCGCTGAGCAAGTAGTTGAATTTTTCAACTAAGCATTTTGATGCTGCGACAAAGATTTTACCATACAACCTTTAATTCTATTTCTGGAAAGCAATACAGCAGGGGGATTTCTAATACTGCTAATATCTAATCTCTCCAATTTTGGCCATAGTGGCACTGTGTCTACCTTGTTTACAACCTCGTTCCCAGGGTCTCTCCGTCTGTCATCTGGGAGAAACCCTGGCTGCGGCTGGTCACGTGCCTCCCAGATTCTGGGAGGTAAATTTAATTGTAACTGTGA